CTCCGGATATATTATCCGGATATATTATATCGCTACGGAATAATTGTAAGATACGATGGTGTTTGATACTTTCTGATAATTGTATTGCTTCGAGAGATAAAATGACATGCGAAGCGACTCGCACTACTTATTTGCCGATTTAAGTGTCGCCACGCGAACGACAACACGGCGCTCGATGGCCTTGCATACGTCGTAACGTATCGCTATCAAAACAAATATCAAGGTCGATTCGTGACTGTATATATAGTGAGAGCAAAAAGTATTCGTACAAGGAAATTTTTTATAAAAAGTCTTATTTGCAGAAAATAAACAGTTAAACAATTAATTAACAATTTTATACAATGAATATATTCTGTTCTAACATACAAATGAATTTCGCATGTATTTCTGATATTATAAACTAAATTTCTCGACTGTACGAATATTTTTTGAGCATCCAAACAATGGAACTTTTAATTTTCGCTTATTTTTCAGATGATATATTTTCTATAATTAATATACATCTTTTTGATATATATAATTTTAAGAAATACAGGCATACAATCTACTTTATGAATAAATTGTTAATTACTCAGCAAGAAATGACTATCAATTAGACGTCAAATGTTGAAATCATCATATTGATATCGATTCGATGACTCATTTCTCGCTGGATAATATTTAATTTTTAAAAATAAAGTTTTTTTAAAAAATATTTTCTCTGTACGAATACTGTTTGTACTCACTATATATATTGTAAAATTCAAACTAAATAATAATACATTAAATATTCTGCTCCTTCTTTTTACATTAATTTTAGTATGTGAGATGTTATTGTATTGTATATTTTACACTTTGTTAGAGAAATTCTTATTAATACTTATTAACTCTTAAAACTTTTTTTATCTTTTAATAACAATTTACAATTGATGAATACATATTGTATATTATATATGACTTTCGTCGATGCATAAAAATCGAAATCGATTCAAAATATACTTTTCATATTTAAATTGTATCTTTTTAAAGATTGCTTGATTTATTTCATAGCTGGGGTTCAATTTATCAATTTTTAAATTTTAATTTTCAGCACTGCATAAAATACTTTACGGTTCGTTTCAACCAATCATTCAATGAGGTGATTAATGCGCGTGAGTTAATCTTAGGAAACCGATACTCTACCTCGAATCTATTTTAATCAAGATCAAGTTGGAGCTCGAAATCGTGATTATATCTGAATGGTGTGACCACAATTTTATCAGTGTGACGTTTGGCATTTTTTCATAGCAAGTATGTAACGGTGTGTCAATTGTTTTGTATGTGTGGATTAATTGGATAAAGGAGCGAATGAGCGAGTGTCGCCGAGCAGATAAAGTCAACACGCATTCCTCGGTCACGCTGGTTGGCCAAATACAAAGGAAACAGACTTCGAAGCCCGAAGTCACGTTTGTCAGGATCGCGTGGGAGTCTGAGGCCGAATTGGTAGATGAACTGGAAAATTGCTTACACCCACGGCGTTCGGTACAACGGAATTGTCGTAAAATTATATGGGGACGGGATGACAAATGCGTCTCGTTTAACTCTTCGTTTCTTAATCGGTTTTGTGTTAAAGATTTTTCTTTTTGAACTACGACTTACCTAATACGCCTCCCTGTTTTAATTTTATTGTCAGACAATTATGGCTAAATGCTTTAAATATTGGGATATAGTAAGAAAGGAGTATGATACATTCTGAAGCTTGAACTATTGTGATTAAAGTATTTTATGCAGTACAGAAAGTTAAAATAAAAAAAAAATTATAAATCAATACGAAATAAATTTAGATAATCAGGTATATTCTGAATCGCCTGATTAAATGAATAATAAAAAAAAAAACGGCATAAATTCAGTTCGATTTTTGTACATCGACAAAACGCTCATATATATAATATATATTCATTAATTAAATTGTTAATTAAAAGAAAAAAATAAGCCCTATAAGAATGATTAATAAGAATTAATTATTATATAGACGACTCTGACAAATTTTCTAATAAAATGTAAAATATATTATATAATAATGTCTTACTTACTGAAATTAATTTAAGATACAAGGAGCAGAATATATACAATATATATTCAACGTATTATTTAGTTTAAAACTTACAGTGGCGAATATCCTCAACCGGCCTTGATATTTGTTTTGGTAATATACGTCACGGCGTAATATACGCAAGGCCACCGAGCGTCGTATTGTTATTTGCGTGGCGACATTCGGATCAGCAAGTGAATAGTGTAAGTACCGCTTACCTTTCAAAAACGATCAAATATTAGAAAATATCGAAAGCCGTCATATCTTATAATTTCCCACACGATTAAAAGTTCAAATTCGACAATCGTAGTAAAGAAAATACGTCGCGTGATTTCATTTGCGAATTGTTTCGCGAATATGGTGCTGTGTTATAAAAGTTTCTATCTTTATCTTATTATTATTTCTTTTAATGATTAGGTATTTTAAATAAATTTAATGAAAAAATTAATCTCATTTGAATAAAAATTAGAAAGAGATGCAGGAAATTGATCTTTTATTAATATATATTTATCGAAATTACTGAAGCTGAGACGCCTTAATCCTTGCAACCCAATATACACGGTGTCATGATTCGCGGCGCATGCAACGAATAACCGATCATTTGCGTCATCTTGATGATAATTAGTACAGGATATAGTTGAAACCGATTAAACGACGTCAGTAAACCGGTGCCATCGCGCCAGACAGCATCTGGTGAAGTATGTAATAATATCGAAAGGCGTTTGTATGCACGTGGGATTTTCATTAGTGTTTTTAGAACGTAATCTCTCGATAGGATTAAAGTGGCGGGCTTGCGAGTGACTTAGCCAGACACGAATATAATTCCATGAGATCCGTTAAGCATGGCATATAATTTCCAGGTTAACTCGCGTTAGAAATTACCGCTCGCGGTGGCACGGGAATCGGCAATTAAACGGCCGGTTTGTTGTCGCGTTTCACATAAATTCGCGCCCCAGGCGACGTTATCTTCGAGACGACGTTAATCACGACGTTTCGTCGCTAATATATGCTACACGAATAGACGTACGCATGTATAAAGTCCCGCGGGCTGTATTGGCGCCGCGAGTAGAGCGAAGAATTCGATGGGTCTAATTTATCGGTCTTAAACAAAACAAAAAAAAAAAAAAAGAAAAAAAAAGCAGAATACGTGAAATTATCGAAGTTGCACGCCTTGGGTGTAAATTGAAGCCGTTTTTATCGCTTTTAAAAACGCAAGCAGTTATTACACGTCAATTACGAGAATGAATGGTCGAGTTTTTTTGAATTCAGAGTAATCTCAAATTTATCACCGCTCGAAAATATTTGCAGCACCTTGAAATTAATTTTTTTTCTAATTTTATGTATCATAAAGATATCGAAATTTATCAGAGAGTCCTTTATAAAAATCTAAAGTTTTAAGATTTATTATAGACACACGTGGAAAGAACAATTTTATTAAAATTAAAAAAAAATTTAATTAACTACAGATCTAAAAGTAATTGTGTTGGATTATCAAAATAATAATTATGTGAAAAATTCAAGCACGATGAGCAATGCTCCAGAAAATTTTATATTCTTACAATCAGCTTGAACATACTACATAATTATTTTGATAATCCAATTATTATTTTCTGACCTGTAGCTACATTTTTAAATACCTCCTCAGCAAAACTGTTCTTTCCATGCACGCACTAAATAAGTTTCAATAACATATTCGATCTTGATATTTGCTTTCTTGGAGAAAACTGGTTTACTTCTATCCTAAAATTAATATTACAAATCTTTACATTTTAGTGATGCTGTCAGACTAAAATGCATCGGCGATATCCTCGCGAAAAATCTCGCGCATTCTGCGATCGCCCGCGGCGTGGTTAACGATGCGCAACGTGATGTCATCGATGTCTCGCGTGCACGTGGATTTAATGTCATCATTCCAGAAAGTGTGCGTGAATCTCGGAGCGTTTTTCGCGTTGCACATCGTACGCGCGTCGCATACCGTGCCCACGCACGTGAGTCAATGCAACGGAATATGACGGCAAAGGGCATTAGGGATGTAGGTGACTTGTTTCTGAGTCATTTACTTCGTAAATGCGTTCGCTTGATAAAAAAAAAAGCTCGTTTTTCTCTTGCGATTGACATTATTGAATAATCCCAATGAATCAATAGATCTGTTCCCGTTGCAATCCCTTGAAATCCCCAAAAACTTTTGCACTTGAAGTGGGATAAATACAATATATTCAGGCGTTGAAAAGAGAGAAAGCGAAGATACTTGAGTTCCAAAAATGCAAGCAATGCGAACAGATCTGAAAATCTACAACTATTCTTATTATACTACAACTATTATTTTTACTTCATAAACTTGATGTTTTTAATAAAGTAGCTGATATTGCTAAAGATTATAATGAGAATTATCGCCTTGGTTTTCTCTGCATAGAGGGTTCTCGAGGGATGTGCAAGCCACGTGCTTGGTTAATTATTGCTAACAAAGAAGTCGCAAATTGCTTTTGAGTGCACAACGTGCGCTCGATTGCATGGCCCGGGCTATTATTACCATACGGTTATCGCCTCTGGTCATTAGCTCGCGAGACCGGAGAACGAACCTCATTAATAATTATCTGCCGTACCCTTGGACTCGCCCGGCTAGCCAAGCTTATCTCTCAGATTTTCGAGGGAAGCCACAAGAGGCGGATTAATATTGCGCAGGTAGCACGTTTCGTGAGAATCTTAATGAAACAGGCTGCACCATCTGGGCACCACGCCTATAAATTAGTCTCTGTGCTAACTTTTAATAACGCTGCACTGTCTGTACTAATCGTTAGGTATCGTTACAGATTACAGTAATAATTGCGGGAGACATTTCACAGGGTAATTTAAATATCCTATCTCGGTGCAGATTCGTGCTAGATATATAACGCGGAGTCGCTTACTTCGGGGTATATTAATTACGAAACCGGACTCTCATTGACGTAAAATGAGTCAGAGCAACGTAAGCAACAGCAGTGGAAGCAATCCATTCACGTTCGTTCTCAGTCAGGTGAACGCGTCATATTCGACCTTTAGTCGCTGTTCTCGGAATTAATATTGCACGATCGTGTGCAAACCGTTTCCTATACATACAATATTCGAAGGACGTAATATTAGCGTTGCCTCACCGTCGTGAGATATTTTTTTCGTTCTGGGGGATCTTATTCTCGAAAAATATTGGAGAAATCTATACGTATACCAAGTATTCTCATACATTTTCACGTACGATATTTTCGAAAATATGATCCTTACTAATTAGACAAAAAATTAATGTTCCTATAATAAGAGTTAGGATGAACCGTCGTCATTAATAGCCAAATACTATAGAGACTATAGACGAATAGCTAAATATTATTACAGACGATATACAGAAATTATAAACGATATATAAAAAATATGACACGTCCAACACATATAGTTCAATTAAATGAGTATGGCATGGTTAGAAGTAACATTCTCTTTAACAAACCTCATGTAAATGTTATACTGCCTTAATATTAATACTTAATATTATATTAAGTAATATACTTAATATTAATATTTGTACGTTAATTTCAATTTTCCAATATCATATTCATTGAATTAAACGCTAAAACAAGGTTACATCATATAATAAAGATTAATTAGGTTATGGATCTCACATTTAATTTACTGATTACCAGTGGCATACTGATATTAGTGATTATCCACTGATTCAGATTTAGAATGATTTTTTGCAATTTGCTTGTAACTCGCGGTTGTGTTGGCTATTGCAATTCATTTGAAACTAGCGGTTGGCTGTTACATATGGCGGATTTCGGCAATCAATCAGAAGTTGCGATCACATTGTTCTAACTCTTATTACAGGAACACTAAAAGAAATAAGCATCTTTTTTTTATTTGATTTTTAAAAAAACATTGCGATCACCGCGAACTGTGTGATTCTCGATGGTGCATCTCGCGATAATCCATGTTACCGCAGTAGCAAAGTTCACGCGTGAGTTGCTTGCGACCGCAGACACAACTGTCGTCCAGAATTGGATTAAGCGCGATGATAAGCGGCGAACCGCAATGGTGGCTACCGTTAAATGGAAGTTTCCGTTCTCTTGAACTTTACATTCAACGGAGTTACGTTTTCTATCATACTCTTTAACTGCGGCTATCTTGCAGAGAATTCTCATCCTTATCCTCATCCTTATCCTAATTCGCCGCGTTCATCTTCATACTGTTATTACTACCTTTTATCTTAGTTCTTCGTCTCCGTAAGGGTCTCCTTTTGCGTCTCCTTTTATCTTCTTCTCGTTTTTTATTCTTACTACTTACGATCAAAGTCCAATTATATCATTCAAACTATCACTTTCAAATCTAACAGTATAAACGCAATTGATGCCAACTCAAAGAAGTGATAAAATATCCTCGCTACATTTACACGATATTCTGCAAAGATGACGAAAAAACTCGATCCAATATCGAAAGGAGATTGTTTTTTCAAGCAGATCCCGTTTTTACGTTCTACCACATTTCCCCGTTATTGGCCAGTGTCGCGCATTCCCGGCGTATTATTTCACGTTTCTTGCTATGCAAAGGACTATTGGCTTCTTGCAGTCGTTCCCCAGCAGTGTTTCTAATCGCCGTGAAAAACGCCGCAGGTGCAGCCGCGCTCGCGCGTGCGTGCGTGCGTGCGTGCGTGCGTGCATTGCCATCTACCTCTATAGAGCGAGAATCTTACGCAGCTTCTTCTTCCTCTCCACACATTTCTTAATCCGCCAGAAGTATCCGCTGTTCGCGGGGCAAAGGTGCGCCGTCTACGCAGCATCATGTTTTTACGCATCGTGTTATCCCTCGCTCGAGGCATTTCCACGATCCTGAGAGAGATTCTTATTTCCACTTCTTCCTACATTACTCGTACGATTGCATCGACGCGGGTGATTGAGATCACGCGAGTACTCGCTTCCTCGTCAATAATACAACATCGATTTCACCGAGAGATGCTGTTTCCAGATTCGTCAGATGTTGGACCTCATGAATTTTTTATTGATTTCGTAAATTTTACAGAGTTGTATAACTGGGATATTTTCTACAAGTAAACGCGTCTCTATATTCTGTATCGTTGCCGGAGTCTCACGATGCTTCGTGATAAAAAAAAAAACGTGATCGCGCTTAGATGAGGTGTTTCTCTGATAAGACCACCTGCGCGCCTGGGTTCTTTTCAGATAAAAATCTCGCGCTTCACGTAGTCTCGTCCATTGGTGGTCGCATATACCCAGTGCTCGCTCGAGCTTATAGGAGCTTATTTATAAACAGTACCAGCCACCACAATGGTTATTGTTTCAGCGCGGTATGCGAACGGCGTTGTACGCGCCGCCTATTTATGACACATTATGCGAAAGCGCACCCGATAGCGTGAGTATTGCATTTCGTGCCATTGTGAGATGGCAACAATGATATCCCCTGGACCATGCTGGATGTGCCTTGGCATCAGTGCATAAATCATGATTCGCGCACTTCGCGCCGAACGCGCACGTTCTCGCGAGCTCGATGTCGCTTCCCAATTCTTTTTCTTTGTGAAATTTAACCAAAGCGAGGACTGTTTGTTTTTGCAGCAGGTGCAAAAATTTTATCCTGACGTAAAAATTTTTTTTATATTTTTACCAAATACATATCATGGGTGCCATGGAAACTGTAAGAAGTCAGAGAATTTTATAGAATTTTCTGAAAAATTAAAATTTCTAGCATTAAAGAAGTTTTTGGAATACTATCAATTTAACAATTAAATGGAAACAGTGACAGCAACATTAATAATAATTTATATTGCATTGTTAAATTGCTCTCTTAATAAAATATTTGATTTCTAAATCAGAAAAATGCAAAATACAAAAAATTTTTAAATACTATTGAAAGTATTAGGGAAAAATTATAGAATTTAGGACGGAATTTATGACAATCTTGAATATGTGAGAATTTTTTTCTTTTGCATGTGGTAATTTACAGTTCACGATACATTTTCCGATAACGCCAAAATGACGAAATTTTCAGATATCAATAATTAGGGATGTCATTACGTTACAAAAAAAAAAGCAGCAGGGCACATTGGAATTATCTGGCGCAGGAAATAATATTTCCGCAACGCGAGAGTTACGTGGCGGCGAATTCGAAAGGGAGAAAAGGGAGAAGAGTATCCAGCTCGGTATGCAAATTGGGTTTCGGTTCGATATAGTTGACCGTTGTGTATGGTTCGAAGGGCCGAATGGGATCAACATTCGCCATATATCCTTGTAATTAAGTCGGTCCCTCTTATTAAGCACCGTACATTCGCTAGTTATATAGAATCGCTGATTAAAGGACGAAACCCGTAGCGACGATAAGGACGTATTATAATGAAGAGCTTTATTTTCTAAACGTTGAGAAACGTAGGGAGTTAGAAGATGTAATTGGCAGGGTATAGTCGGTATTACAAAAATCTCAGTGGGCGTCCATGAAAGTATCATTATAAAACCGCCGTGTTCATGCAATGTTTTAATACCTTAATCTAACGCTGTGATCAGCAATGTTTATCGCGACGGGGACAAGCGGAGGCATCTCCACGAGTTACTTTTAACCATATTTTTCTCGTGTCTTTGGTTTAATTCTCTCTTATAAGGAGCTAGTGAGCTACATTTGTACGCGGGTTTAATCGGCATTTCAGTTTTTATAGCTGTTAGAGTATGATCCGCTGACTATCTCGAGCCGTGGATAAAAAAATTGTCGATTCTAGCAATTCGAAATATTTTTTTCAGATCCTCGATACTCGCGAGAGTATCATTCGCCAGAATCTTGGTTCCCATTCTCCCACTTTTAGTGGCGTGCGGCAAGTTCCAGTCGCTCGCGACAGCTTCGCCGCGCCGCATTCCAGCCACGCGCCTTGCCTAGGAACACTGGCGTAACTATCGAACCTAACGAGACGATTTGTCAAGATCCTCTTACGTGTCTTTTCCGATAAGAAAATACTTTTCCCTCTTCTGAATGGCACGAAACCCAATCGGCAGCAAAGTAGTAGCGGTGATCGACGCAGAAATATCCGGTCAATGTTCGTTGATTGCCTCATACATTACGTTTAATGACAGACAGATGTTTTTGTAATTTTACGTTTGTCGCAAACAGGACAGGTTCGAACGGACGAAGAAGTTTAATTCTTTAGTCGACAATAATCTCTCAATCTGAACTTCTACTAACAAAAGACGCTACATTAATCGCTTAAAACGTGAGCTTTCGAAATGATTCGATTATCGATTTCATTGTGCGCCACGTCGAAACTTGCGAATTTTTATACAAATTGTTTCTAGAGCATTAGAGAGCTTTGATCCAGATGTCACAATAACTGATATTTTAAATACAGTATACTTATATTATCGCAAGGGTGTCTGTCTTTTATTTCTCACCGGGATATTTTTGCTAATTTCACCCCTTTATCACCCTCCAGATTATAATCGGCAAATGAATTTTTCTGAATTTCAGATATCATCGATCTCACGAGTCAACATGCGGCGGACTCATCGAGAAAATCGCGAGTATCCACGCCACTGGAGGTCTGCTAGGTACAGCAAGAGCAGCACGAGCCGGGCCTGCAGAGTCGCGGTCGAGCGGAGGCGGTGGGAGCCGTCCTCTCCATCGTAGCGAGGAGCGAAGGAGAAGCAAAAAGGAGTCGGACGTCGAAAAGGTAAGAGTCGACCTGTAGTAGGGGCGAGTGGTGAGAGGTGGTGGCAGCGATGGAGAGAAACTGAGAGAGAAACTCGCTGCTCGCTCGGGGATGAGAGAGACGAGAAACGCGACACAATCACGTCCTGCACGCGCCGAGCCCCGAGCCCACTTTCAGACTCTGTTACACGAGGCACCGATTCGCTCGCTTCCATCGATTTCCCGGATGCGTCAAATTCCTCCGTTAGCTTCGCGACTTCCATCGAATATCGAATAGAATATCGAATGGATGTTGCTTTGAAATTGATGATCAATGACAAATGTCTGGTTCGCGATTATTACTCTAATTTTCCAAGAGACTCCATTTAGACTGAAATTAAACGCTACTCGCTAAAATATTCGCGACGTATTTTTGCCATTTAGAACGTTACTGATGCGATAGAAATTACGATACGATATTACGAATTCTAACTCGGGATTGTTTTTAAACTTGTTCACAACCGGATTGTGATTCCTGTGAGAATACAGTAATAGCAGAAAAGGTTCCTATTCGTCTCGTGTAACATCGCGTTGGCCACGACGGCCGCCGCAGGCATATAGTGGCGTCTGACCCATGCGCTTCTAGTGCTGCAGGCAGCTCTGAAGTGTGGGAACTCCTCACCTCGGAGCCTCCCGACGACCTTTGCCGCAACCTGCAACCGCATATCTGCCTGCACTCGGCATAGATATCTCTCCGACGCGCCTTTTTTCGTGCCGGTGGTTTCGCCGGGCCGAATGGAGTCTTCATGGTAACGGGTTCAGGGTAGACCCTATTAACTGTGACGTAGTCCGCATCGTTTCGCCGGTTCGCTAAGAAAACAGCACCGAGTTTGATTACGCGCCACAGGCAATTGCCGAAGCAGCGTTTACCACTCGCGAGCATTTATCTCGTTCCATATGTGCTTTTCATCTCGATATCGCGACGTCTCGCGTATCCGTGATGGTATCCTTCGGGCGTCTTTTGTGCTCGCCTCGTAACACGCCTTGATATTATCGTTATATCGTTGTAATTAGGCGGAATTTCTCTTCCTGCGATCCGACGGTAGACGGTTTGATGTTTGACTTGACTTATTCGTTGTAATACGACTTATATTGGTACGTCATACGTATAAATTATTCAAATAAAATGTAATTTTTTTTTTATCATAATAAATCGTATTACAATGACGAGTTTCCTTTAGTTAATATTCTCATATAATAGTTTCATATATTCTTACTTAGTTTAAAACTTATTGTTGCTTTTATTTTCGTTATTACTTCGCTACTCGTTTCAAGCCTCTTCTTACGGCGGAAATCTCGCGAGCAAGGGTCAAGGAAAATTACTCGACATTTAGAGGGAGGGAGAGCAGCAGCAGCATGCTCGAGGATCGCAAGCTCGCGGCTACCGATTCGCGTGTCAGAATCGTGCTGGTGGCGCGTTGCTTTGAGATTCCTCCGTGCGCGCGTTTTCACGAGAAGAACGTACTTACGATCATAACCAACGCTTCGGTTCGGAATAGTGGATCGTGAGGGAATTCTTCCCGTCGATCGCGTAGGGCAGTCTTCCCTGCAGCGTAGGTTCGCATGTACACTCTCGACAATTTTCTCTCCTGCCTTTTCGGTTCCATACCACTCCCTGGGTATTTATCAGTCGATCGTTTATGTAATCAGAGGCACGGTATCGTGGGATGTAACTCGTGAGTAATGATACGTCTTTTATCGCGTTCTTTCGCATTTTATATAATTCGAGTGTATAAAATCGCTGCCACAAAGGTTTACGGTAGCATTAACGCACATAACATACGTGTACACGCGTATTTTTCAGTTAAAAAAAATTTAACATCCCTAAAGGGTTTTTGTAAATCTTTGCTCAACGATGATTTCCTGATTTCAAATTGAAATTGATATCTGGGATCTTTGATGTTTACATTGAGAAAAGGATGCCTAAAAATATATTTGTGAGAAATATATTTATTTCATTGAAATAAAATTTTATTCCTAACAAATAGGCCATCTATTTTATTTTTTTTTTTTTCAGCAATTACTGAGATATATTTTACAGAAATGAAATATATTTCACAGTAAATAAGATATATTTCGTAAGTAACATTTGATAGATATTTAATTTGTCTTTTTACTATAAATAGTGGAAAGAATGAAGTGTTCGAAACGTTAATAATGTCAGCGATAAAACCAATGATTAATGAGTTACAAAAACTTCAATCTTCTGATTGGATAAGGATCACAGAGCCGCGGAACGAGATACTTCGTCGTGACCCTGCGAGTCGGAACGAGTCCTGCGGTGCGCGACCGTGATCTCCGATCTGGATCGGTCCGGTGATCCGGTTTGTAGCTCCGTCCCGAAGGCGAAGGCTTACAATTACTACAATGGCGAAACGGCTTGAGGGTGTATTCGTTCGTCGTGCGACCTAAGTACAGGCTGCGGATCAAACCTTCGTTCGCGGATCGTTACATCCCCCGCGATTCCATCGTCGATGATTACTGCCCGCGCTTCGAAAAGGGGACCTTCGAGCCCTCCAGCTGCGTTCACATGCGCGAAAAGCGTAGTCACTCTCGAAATTGCGATTGGTCGCCGATGGGAGGAACGCCGGCAAAAAATATCAGATGTGATTGTAAAGTGACGGGGCTGATTTCGAAATTATGCCCCGGCAAGTTTATTTTCTCCGAAATAACCGGGAGTAATCAATCAAAAATAGGTGCGCCCGAATGTTATATTTAGATAAACAGGTGCTTGTTTGTTAAGGAAGATTGCGCAGATATCAGTGGCGCGAGTGCTGCTCCGATACAGGTGTTTCGAGGATGCTCGTGTATTAAATCGTTGAACGCACACTTACGTTCGTCATAATCCAGTTGATTCAACGTAGTTAGGCGACTGAATGTCTAGACTCGTTAAAGGTCATATGGCGAACGGGCCGTTAGAATGGCTTACTGTCCTTGAAGCCAATCGCCATGCTGTCTACGTCTTGTAGCTCTTTTAACAAGTTCTTTTAATAACTTGAACATAAAATATCTTAACACCGACTTAACATTGACTTTGAAATGCTTAATCAATGAGAAATAAATCTATTTTTGGACAAAACTAATTCGTTCGAAAATATTTAAGCACTAAGATTTGCTTGGTCCGAAAATAAGTTTATTTCTCTTAGTTTATTTCTCCAATTACATCAATGTTATTTTGACTTTAAGCGAGATTTAGACATGTATCTTTATCTTTTTTTCTAAATAAATAAAGACGTATATGTTTAAGTTTCGCTTAAGGCTAAAGTAACGTTAGTACAATCGGGCCTTACGATTATATAAATATATAATAATATACGATTCCTCGAATAATTTACGATTTCTCGTTAGTTCGATACAAAGTGTCATTATTTAAAGCGTTAAATTAATTTCAAATTTAATTCATGAAAGTACGATCAAATTTTCCTTAATTTTATGAGATAATATCGATAATTCGCGTGAACATTTATTATTTCATCGTTAATATCGATCGCTAACCGACATATGTAATTCATCATTGTAACTTGTCACGTACACGAAAACTTGTTCTTCTTAGCACGTTATACAAAATTTACGTTGATCAATTAACAGCATTGGTATCGATTTCTCAGCGTCTCGTACATTAATCGTCGTCTACAAAAGGAACCGCGCGCAGCTTGTCTTTCATTCACACGTCCGCTGCATCTCGTCTTTCGATAGTCTAAGGATTCACTCTTTAATTGGGCGCCGTTGATGAACAGATCTCATTTGCATACGCTTTAACGAAGCCAAGAACATTGTCCGCTCGTAGCGCGTAACTGATATCGAATAATTAATTAACGAGACGTACTAGCCTTTTATCGTCTTCGACATGTTCAAACTGGCAGCGTCGAATCAGTTTACGCGTGTCGCCATGTTTAGTAATTAATGAGCTGTTTGATTAATGTTCCGTCTGTTATAGGCGCTCATGCGGGACTAAAAAAAATCAAATCCAACGCGCATTAGAGAATAAAGCCATGTACTCTCGTTTTATTATCGTCGAGATATCGCCCCGTGGTTATTATGATTAATAATTAATGAACACCTTGATGAAGGGCGTCTAATAGTCGCGCGTGTAACTCGATTACACGCGTATGTTTTAATAGTGTTATTAAGTTTATATTACTGGAGTGCGCATAATTCTTCACATTAGAACACCATTCTGAACGATTTCTATGGATGAATATCAAATACAAATACTAACGTAATAAATATATTTAGTAATGTATTTTTTATCTGTGTTCTTTCGTAACCATGTGGTCGAATCGGTAGATGGTTTTTATAAGCGAGAAATTAATGTGCTACATGTTGCTCGAATTAGTAGGAGATTAAAACATCTTAGAGTTATGCAAATGATTATGAAATTTTTTTTATAAAATCGCAGGAAGTGGTATATGATGACGCAACCGACGACGTGTAAAAAGCACGAAGAAATAAATCTCCAGAATTTAGTTCGATCGCGTCGTCTGCTCGTTAAACGATCCAGGTGGATGCGAGATGCTTTTCTTGCCGGTACATTTTTGCCATCGTCGGTTGTGCGCTCGACCACGCCTGCGGATACGCGAACTTCGACGCGGGAAAAACGCCGACATCATCCGGTTAACGTTCCCGAAGAGGCACGCCAATGTTTCGGATCGCTTAGCTCGAGCTATCCATGAGATTCTTTGATCCCCAAGAAAAAAAGTAACACAAGCGACGGTTACCGCTACATGGTCGCATGAGATAATTCCTCCGTGTAATATCTTATTGAAGAAGTGGTTTGAAAGAGGTGCAATAAATTAACACTTTATTACTTATATTTAGGAAAAAAGGAATACCATAAAAATAAAAATGGATTCAAAATGTTCTAATTTCTTTTTGTAAAAATTATTTTCTAATACCTTCAATCTTTTATATATTTTAAAAATCGGAACTTGTATCCGAGAGAAAAAGGACTTGAATTTCGTTCTATTTAATTGTTCTTAAACT